CCATGAAGCAGGAATGCTGCAGCAATGTCCATCTTGTTTCAGAAGTCACTTTCCTGTGGGTCTTTCATGTATATTTTATAGAGCATAAAGTCAAACAGTCCAGACAAGAGCAGTATCTTGCCCAAATGGCTAATCTTGCCATATTGGGGGATAAACTCCATAATGAGTTTCTTTGATGTCCATCTTCCTTTGTGATGCTGTTAGTGTTGCCAGGATCAGTTATCTCGCTGTCAAGAAAAACCCTAAACCATTTTAAAAACCATATTCTGTAGGTCTTTGAAAGGTTTGAAGAATGGCTATCCATTTGAAATATATCTCTGTATATCTAGAAAACTAACTTAACTAAGTTTTGACTATTATAAGTAACTATAATCTTTACTGAATTATACATTACATTTCTAAATGAGCTACAGAAACACAGTACTTAAACAAGGGGAGAAATATACATATCAAAAAATTGATCTTAAATTTATATCAATAAATGAAAATCCATTTCAGAACAAAGCATTCATTTCTATGCCATAATCCCTTTTGCCTTTAAGAAAGAGATTGGATGTAATCATTAGCCATTTATAACCAACCCCATTTAAATGAAAACAAACAAATATAGACAATATTTGGTAATTTGGGCAGTGTTGTTTTCAAACTGCTTCCTGCTGATCTGGAATGCTGTAATAACATGGGAAGGTACAGAAATCCTGGCTGTAGTCTGCAAGGCTGCCTTGTCCCAGCTGTTTTGAATGTTGAATTACCTGGGACACTGTTTTAGAGGGTCTTGGTTGATCAAACCTTGTTAGTCTGGAAGGAATCCACAGCTTTTTATTTTCTGTAGAAACAAAAATAGAAACCCTTTCCCCAGTAACCTGTCCTTAGACTTACATTTTGAAGTCAAAGCATTTTTAAACTATATAAATTGGGTTAATGTAGCAGCATTGATAATCAAATTTATTTTTAGCAGTTGTTGTTCCTTCCATAGCAATTGAGCAATTCAAAGACAACACAATAGCATACAGTATCCAGAGTCTTTGTGTACTTTCCATCTTCATGTGACCTTTTTATTACTATTTCTTTTACTTTTATTTTTCATTTTTTGAGAAAGTTTTTTTTCTGTGTAACTTTTGCCTATAATGAAATTACTCTGTATATCAGGCTGGTCTTGAAATCACAGAGATCTGTTTGCCTCTGCCTCCTGAGTGCTTGGATTAAAGGTGTGTGCCACCACAATCAGCTACTCTCTGTATTTTTATTTTTCCTTTTTTATTTAAATTTGAAACAGAGTTGTTTTACATGTCAATCCCAGTTCCCTCTCCCTTCCATCCTTCTCTATCACCCCCACCAAACCCCTTTCTGCTCCCCAGAGAAGGTGAGGCCTTCCATGGGGGGGTATTATCAAAGTCTGTCACATCATTTGGGGCAGGGCCTAGGCCCTCCTCCATGTGTTTAGGCTGAGGGAGTATTCCCCTATTTGGAATGGTCTCCCAAAGTCCATTTGTATACTTTGGATAAATACTGATCCACTACCAGAGAACCCATAGACTGCCCAATCTGCCTAACTAACACTCACATTCAGAGGGTTTGGGTCAGTTCTATGCTGCTTTCCCAGCTATCAGACTAGGGTTCATGAGCCCTCCTTTGTTCGGGTTAGTATTTTTTTCATAACAAATATTTACTTGTTTGTTTGTGTGTTTATCTATTTTTTTATTTTACATATCAATCCCAGTTCCCTATCCCTCCCATGTCTTCCAGGCCCCTTCCATCCCATGCCCCCCACACTCCACAGAGAGGGTGAGGCCTTCCAGGAGAGGTCAAGAAAATCTGTCAAGTTATTTGGAGTAGGGACTAAGCCCTCCCTCCTGCCTCTAGGTTAAGGAAGTATACCTCCAAGGAGAATGTGCTCCCAAAGTCCACAGAGACAGCTGACCTGAACAAGGAGGAGCTAATGGGCCCTCAGGTCATTATTTTTATTTTTTTTTAAACTACTTTATCCTGTTTCTTTTTCTCTCCCAAACTTATGTATATTTTAAAACACACTGTAAAACTTTAGAGTTTTTTCTTTATCTTAATCTGTCTTTCCTGTAAATCTTTTTATGGCCATGAGTCTTTTATGTGCTAAACAATATTGCTTTCCAATATGGCAGTTGTACATTTACCACCAGAAGTGAGAGCTGTGCTCCCGACCTTGGTTTATGCTGCCATTGAGCAGCATGTTGCCAGCTTAGAGATGTGGTCACCTCCACTCTCTGCTATTCCTACACACCAATTAATTGTTTGCAAGGCCTCATAAAAGAGCACTGAGGATTTTTCTGCTTATGCCGAGTCAGGAAACCTCCCTAAAAGGAGCTTGTCAAGTCTCTGCTTGTCTCTAGCAAAACAGAGCCCACCTGAGAAAGGCTGCTACCAAGAAGCCTTGCTTGTGTCTGTTTTTGTTCCTTGTTTCTAAAATCCCTTTTTAAGCTTTTGTCAAATTTTAAGTGTAAGTTCTTAGTACCCAGGTTGCAGGTGCCATTTTGTTATGAGCAATTTCCTGCCAGCATGGTCCCACAGCCACATCTACCCCAAAATAACATGTATTAGATAGATATAAAGTTGTTGGCCTGTTAGTCACATTTCTGTCACTCTAAGTGTTTCCACATGGTCTTACCAGAGAAAAGGTCCAGATATCTTACTTGTCTCACATCCTACATCTTGACTACCATTGTAGTATTTCTAATTTCACCTAATAAAATCATTTATAAGCAATTATGTGCAGTAATGATAAGAAGCAATTATCTCTTTAATTAGCAATTTTTTTCTTTTGTATACCACCTAAATACTGCAATTACAGGCATGAGATTAGACGATGTAAATTTTTTTAAATTTTTTATCAACTTATTTTAACATTCCATTAAATAGTAATTTTACATCAAAATACAGTAGATAATTTAGATACATCATTATAAAGTACTCTATAGATATCTATAGTTTTAATATTAAAAATCATGTCCCATTTGTGGGGGTGGTTGCAATTAAATAGTAAGTGAATAATCCTTATTATATCTTCTGCTCTTCAAAAGATATTTTTGTGATACGTATAGGTGCTATTAGTTGCTTTAGTTTTGGTGTGCATGCTAAAGTGGAATATATTTTTAAAACTGAACTCTTATATTTTTGGTTGTGAGCCTAGCCCAACTAAACTCTAAAAGAATAAGTTGTGGGTATTTTGAAAAATGTAGCACTTACAAAATTGATAATTTGGGGAACTGATCAATAAAACAATGGAATAGGAATTTTTTAAAGGCTTCTCCTCACATGCTTACCCCGCCTTTGATGAGTAGAATATATTGAAACTACATCATCTCACTCATTCTTTCTGTGTAAAAAGGGGCAGAGATAAATTACATAAGAATGTTAAAATCATAAATGACCAATGAAGTTGCACACCTTGAAAAGATTAAATGATACCACATTGTTGCCTCGTTAGTTTATCATGTCTACTTTATGCTCACACTTTAAAGCAAGCTAGCAAATTATACTAAAGAAATTTTATCTGTACAGATAATTCAAAGTTATAGAGTTGTTAGATTTTTCTTAAAAATATAATTAAAATCTCTCACAACAGCTCTTAATTGGGGTGGAGCTGATACATAAAAGAAATACCTGAAAGTAAAAGAGTGGCTTTGGGGGATGCAGAAGAAGGGGGCAGGAAGATAAGAGTAATCAATTGTAAATGTGATCTAAATACACTACCTATGTAGAAATAGAATAAAACCTCTTAGTTTTCATAATTAGTACATGCTAATTAACTGACAAATCAAATTCATGTAGTGAAGAGAGGAAAGAGAATAACTAAAAGGTTAAAAGAGAAAGTATTACTGAATTTTGGTTCTGTATGAAATGTATTAGAAATATATAAGGTGGTACTTTGACAGCAGTTAACGCCACCCAAAATTATGTCACAACTGATATTCATATGCCTCTATTTGAATCCTAATATTAGGCATTTACCAGATGTGTTTCCTTGGGCACATTGCCTAAGAGGTCTCAGTTTCCTCACAGTAAAATTGTAAATCCTCATAAGCATAATGATTCCTAGAAAATACATGTCATATACTTAGTGAGTGTATGCACTTTTGTTGTTATATCCTAGAATTTTTATGATCTGAGCCTGTGTACATTTCTGGTTTTCATTGATTCAGAATTTACCAAACTGTTGCCTCTTGTCAGGTGTATCTTTTTTAAACTTTTTGGTAATTTGATTTGGATTGGCTACTCTATGCTTAAGGAAATTTAAATTGAACAAAATAGTTTATTACTGCTCAACTAGCGGGTTATATTTAGAGTCTTTGCTATGACTGCTGCATGCTAAATTAAAGTTGTGTTCATTAAGAATAAAGACCCAATAGGAAAATGGACAAAGAATTGAATACTCAATTCTGTAAACTACAAATGCTTATAACAAAATATGCACACCTAGGTTTAAATATAGGCAATGAAACAGAATCCCCATATTGATAAGTCATGGTAGTATCCAAATGCATGATACTATGATTTAGAAAAAAATTAATTAGTTTGTGATAGTATACCAGAAACAGTAGGTTAATTTCCTAAAAGTAAGGTTAAATACAAAAACCTGATACTTTAGAAGTGAATAGTAAACACATAGGTTCATAGGCATTAGGAAGTAAGACTGAAATCTATTACTAAAAATGAAAAGAAATATGGAAAGTGTGATCTTCTTTGTAAAACATCATATACCCTTAATATCCAGGACTGCAAAGAGAGCAAACACGGGATGTACTTTATTACCTATAAAAAGTCATTTAAAGTAGTATTATCTGGACAGTTCTAAGAGGCAGTTTCACCTTCTGGCTCAAAACACACATATTCTTCATCCACACATGCCAACCATAACGTTGCATATGAGAGTGTGTTTTGTATACTGTAGCTGAAAATCAATATAAGTATAAGCCTTCCTGGGGAAGAGAAAAAAATGTGATATGAACTTTGTTCTCTGTGTTTAGGCAAGCTACGACCTATATCTATGCCAGTCGAATATAATTGGGTGGGGGACTATGAAGATCCAAATAAGATGAAGAGAGATAGTAGAAGAGGTAAGTGTTCTAGAATTTCAGTGTAGGCTGGGTTATTTTTAACAATAAGCAAACGTAAATGTTCTTTAAATAGATTATTATGGCTTCAGCAGAAACTCCATCATTGACAGTACAACTAAGTGAAGTCAGACCAACATTTGACTGTCTTGACCTATTACTAATAGTTATCTTATATGAATGCCTTCTAAGAGATTCTAGGCAGATAATTACACAGAGAAAGATCTATGTTTATAAACAGAAAGTTAATATTTTAAAAACAAGGTCAGAAGTGTGAAACTGCATAAAAATTCAGTTCAATAAATAGAAACAGTTGTGTCTTCAGTCCCAATTAATCAGCAGTATATCTCACTTCATTCATGAAACCTCATATGATAAAATCTCATGATAAGCATTGAAGCACATAGGAAATGTAGAATGGAAACTGGGCCAGTGACTCCTTATGAAAACCATAGAAAATTGGGGGAACAGGTACTTTGGGCTTTTTCTGTTGTTTGCTATTCAGCATTATTCTTTCACATGGGAGTGGGCTACTTCTGAAGTATTTACACAAAATAAGTTTTTATATCCATGTACCCTGCTACTGAAGTGAGCAGTAAGAAGCAAGTGAAACCTTCACAGCTTAGTAGACTTTACTCAAGTGTGGATATGATGGACCCAACTTCAGAAGAAGAGAGCCACAAATTGCAGATGAACAACAAAACCAGAACTGTTCTATTAACTAAGCTTCTTTTATGGTATGGTTGACCCGTTTACTTATTTCTATCCAGTGAACTCTAAAACATCCACAGACCGCATGGACATGCAAGCATAAAGGTCTGCTTTATAAGTCTTCTTAAGCCATATTTTGAGTAGTGAGCATTTCAAAAATGTTGAGAAATTCAAGGACACTGTCAGATTCCTTCACTTCACATACATGTACTAATTCCATTTTCCAAGCTTCTGTATCTAATATCATTAGTTTTATTGTATAAATCAAGAAAAAAATTTAAAATACTTATCATAGGCCATCTCTAAGATATTCTTTGGGACTTCTTATAATATTGATATCCTGTAGGAAATATATATTATAACCACTAAGTGTTGACTACTAACTTCAGGAAAGATTCTATGAACTAAGTTCATAACATGGGCTTTAACTTCACCAAGAATGTTAGCTAAAATATTGGAGGCTATCATTTGTCATCAAGGTTTAGGAGAACTTTGCTGTGGAACTTGCTACAAACTGTAAGTTCCACCCATACAGAGGTCAAAATTTAAATTCTGCAGGTGGTTTTGATGTAGTTACTCCAGAATTAAAACCAGGAGAAATAATAGTAAGTCCTACGGTATTGTCACTACATATATTGGAAGTTAAGTCAAGTTAAAGTAATCTCATAGCACAATTTGAAAAGAATGGTACATTTCAGATATTTGCATATTTATATCATTGTATTTCTCTTTTTATGTAGAAAACTCTCTACTTCGATATATGAGCAATGAAAAAATTGCTCAAGAAGAATACATGTTTCAGAGAAACAGCAAAAAAGACACAGGGAAGAAGTCAAAAAAGAAGGGTGATAAGAGTAATAGCCCAACTCACTACTCGTTGCTGCCTAGTTTGCAAATGGATGCATTGAGACAAGACATCATGGGCACACCAGTGCCAGAAACCACACTGTACCATGTAAGTAAACTCAAAAACTCTTTCTTACAGTCTTTCTTAGAAGGCAAAGTAATTTTGTTGATGAAAATGAGATTTATTTTCCCTTTGAAAGAGTTTTAGAAAAGGCTAACATTAGAAATTGACCTTAAAGTTACTGAGGATTGATTTTTTTGTAGCTCGTATGATCAATGTGTTCATATTTTTGCAACAACCTTTATTTTAGTGTAATAACTTAATAGGCACAATATTGATAGATAACAGTAATTAGGTTATTACTCATTTGTATATTAATACACAGTACTTGGGATGCTCCAGAAATCCAGATTAGAGATAGAATGTTGAATATTTCATGCTTCTGCTTAAAAAGGGGTGTCCACTATGTGCTATTAAAAATAGGAAGACACAGCACACCATTCAGGCTGGGGTAATGATCAAGTTGGAAATTTGTTTGCTGCACAAGTGTGAGGACGGAGTTCAGAATTCCAGCTCTCAGATAAAGTTAGGCATAATGGCACTTGTAATCACATAGTCGTGTAATCCTAGTGCTGGGAAAATAGAGACAGAAGAATACTCACAACTCACTGTTTAGCCAACCCAGCTAAATCAGCTGTTACATGTTCAGTGGATGACTTTCTCTCAAAAGTAAGGTGAGGGGCTAGAAAGATATCTCAGTGTTTAAGAACACTGACTACTCTTTCACAGGATGAAGGTTAATTCCCAGCAACCACGTGGAGGCTCACATCCTTCTATAACTCCAGTTCCAGGTGTTTCAACACTCTCTTCTGGCATGGAGCACCAGGCACATACTTGATACACAGACATGTGCACAACAAACACCAAGCACAATAATTAAATAAATGTATATGTGTGTATATATGTGTTATGTTTAAAAATATGATATGAGTGGTAGAAGATAACATCCAAAGTCAACTTTAGCTTCCACATGTGCACACGAGTACACATACACAAATGCACATGGAAAAGCACAACATTATATGGGATAGATATTCTGAAATTTCCAATATAATTTGACTTATGTATGGGACAATACAAAAAGTATAGTAACAAGAACAGTTATTTACTCTTCAGGGAAAATAAGAAGCTTCTTCATGGGTAGCAGTTGAGCCATGAGTGAAAAAAATGAGTAAGGATATTTTAATGAGAATGTAAATGCTGATCATCACAAATGTGTGATATAACATGTTCCAGAGGTTCCATGAGGTTCAGAATTGCTAGTTTGTTAAACAAAAACATATAAGTCATTATATGAGGAAGAGTCAGTACATGCACCTACAAATGTAGGCAGGGCTAGATCAGCAGTTTTGTAATAGAGTTTTGAGACTCCTAGAGTAATAAAGAATGTTGGGTTGAAAACATGATCACGTGGACATGTGATAGTTTTCTAATGAAAGAGCAACACTTGAATGGTCCAAGGCAGGACCATTCCATCACAGATGGATTATGAGAAACCAAAATAATATCCATGTGGAAACTGAAAGTCTTGTGAGTCATAACATTAGCATAAAGCTTCAACATGTTTCATGCTACTTTAGCTAAATAAAGTCTGTTTTAGTAACAGAGCCATAGCTTCCAGTTCCATTTAACCATTGGAAACAGACTTACCATGGCTGGAGAGATAGCTCAGTCACTGAAGTAATTGTTGTACAACTATTGGGACCAGAGTTCAGATCCCTAGTACCCAAATAAAAAGTCAATCATGGCAATACACACCTGTAACCCCCTTGGCTTGCTAGACAGGTAGTCTGGCCTAATTTGTAAACTTAATTTCAATAAGAAACCTTTCCTCAAAAAAAAAGTGAGGAGTCTAATTAGTAGTTAGTGAACTAGAACTTAATGCTCCAAGTATCAAATCTGCTATATTATTTAAAAGGTATACATCTAAAAATAAAAGATGTGAAAGAGTTAAGAAATTTATATTTGAACTATTTTGGGGGGGTTACTATCTTAAATTATCTTTTCTATTCTCATAAAACTAGATTAGAAAAAAAAATTCCTTTATGTGGATTAGAGTTTTATTAGGTTCAGTGCCCACAAATTTCCATGTTTCTTCCTCTACAGGAGACTAATATGTCTTATCCAAACACATTAAATAACTGACAAATCGTATTATTGTTTCCAGCAACATCTAAAGGAAACCTAAAAAACAGTGTTCATTGATAACCTGTGAATGGGACGACTTTTATTATCACAACTCAGAAGAGCTGTTTCTCTGAAACATGTATTCTTCTTGAGCAATTTTTTCATTGCTCATATATCAAAGTAGAGAGTTTTCTACATAAAAAGAGAAATGCAATGATATAAATATGCAAATATCTGAAATGTACCATTCTTTTCAAATTGTGCTATGAGATTTTATTTCATTACTTTAACTTGACTTAACTTCCAATATATGTAGTGACAATACAGTAGGACTTATTATTATTTCTCCTGTTACTTATAATTGGAACCACCTCTAGAGTCTGGTTCCAATTATAAGTAACAGCCTGAACAAAGATCTCAAGATAAGAGACAGACATCCTATTCAAGAGCAAAATTGGTAGTTGGAGATGAAACTGAAGGAACAGAGTAGGTTAGCTGGTAGAGAGGTTAGCTGGGTTTAGCCTTAGAAGAGTGATGATTGATCAAACACACACACAGATATAGATAGATAGATAGATAGATAGATAGATAGATAGATAGATAGATAGATAGATAGATAGAGATCTCAGTGTGTGTTCCATTCCTTATTATTATTATTATTATTATTATTATTTTACACATCAATCCCAGTTCTCTCTCCCTCCCATCCTCCAATGCCCCCAATCCCTCCCCCTGCATCCCATTCCCCACCCACTCCACAGGGAAAGCGAGACCTTCCAGGAGGGATCATCAAAATCTGTCAGGTCATTTGGAGTAGGGACTAGGTCCTTCCTCCTGTCTCTAGGCTAAGGTAATATCCCTCCATGGGGAATGTGCTCCCAAAGTCCTTTTGTGCACCAGGGATACACCCTGGTTCCACTGTCAGAGGTTCCTTAGACTACCCACACCTTCTAATTGAGACCCATGTTCAGGGGGTCTGAGTCAGTCCAATGCTAGTTGCCCAGCTATCATTCTGGTGGTCCATGAGCTCCTCCTTGTTCAGGTCAGCTGTCTCTGTGTGTTTCTATAGCCTGGTCTTGTCCAAATTTTCTTATCACTCCTCCCCCTGTGTAACTGGATTCCATGAGTTCATCTCAGTGTTTAGCTGTGGGTGTCTGCTTCTGTTTCCTAGTGTGTTCCATTCTGTCATGCATGTGCAGATTTGTGTATACTAAAGAAACAACAAAGAGGATGAGTTTTGGAAATTTTGAATTATTGATTAAAGGACGGCAATAAAAGGCAAGCCAAAATACTAAATATTGTGTATTACCTAGGAGGAGAAAGTGTTGCCACTTTTCCAAAGCACATTCATTATTTATTGAGGAAAATCTAAAACCTGGTAAAGAAACTTCATTTAATAGCGGCTCATTTTAAAATGAAAGATTTTTTCTTTATGTTATAGTTTCCTGAAAACACAAGGTCAAGTATCAGTATGTAACTTCATGATAAATAGTTATCTTCATTTTCCCTGATTTTGGATAACATGGTTGTTTTTATACTATAAGACTTAAAGGGAAGGTTGACATTGAGTTTAACGGCCACTGTTTCTGCTATAGTAATAATTCCTTGAAGTCTAAAGATTTTTGCATTCCAATTTAGATAAAATGTTAATTTGATATAAGGATTTTATTAGCATTTTATATATCATACCTTGTTAAGTTGTGGTGAATAACTCCACCAATAAGGAACTGACTGTGAACTGGTATGTTACTACCCTTGTCAATATTTTCTACTTGGAAACAGATCCTTTCTGCATGTCCTATTACAGTCCCTGGGAAGGCAACCAGATTCAATCCATCACACCATACCTCTTATGCTTTAGTGCAGAGATTCATTTCCGGCCAGTCTTGCTTTCTTCCCTTTTTGCCCTTCTGATTAGAGAGATTCTACTGCGCCTACTTCATCAACTAAACATTCTTTTTAACTCCTAACACAGTTTTACTTGTAGGTAAAATAGGCCAGTTCTCTGTCTGAAAATGCAGAAGTTGTTTACTGATCTCAGAGCACACAAAGAAAAGACAAGCAGCAGTGTATGTATTCATGATATCCAAATGTAATTTTAAAAGCCTTTATGAAGATAGAGAATAATTGGATTTCTGTAAATCTCATCTTTCAGTGTTGTAGGAGGAGAAATTGGTACTACCTTTCCATAGAGCATTATTTGGTGAGGTAGATCAAGAACCTACTGGAGTGTCTTTTAAGACAGAAATGGAGAGTGTACATTTTTGCTTAGTATAATTTACAAACAACAATATGCTGCCTCATTAAGACTGCAACAAATTAATCAATTCTTTTTAAATCCACATGCAAAGATACCAGTATGAATAAAATGTGATTGGGTATCAACACATCATACTAGTATAGTTTTCATAATATGATTTTTTAAAAGTTTATTAACAGATTTTGAGTAGGTGTTGAAAAACCTGTTACCACCTTTCCTAACATCCCAACATTTCTCTGATTCATCTTAGTATTTTAAAATGTGAGAACATTTATCTGTTACATTATTCTAATAAGTAGGTTTACCCATTCTGCTAATTTGTGAGGAAATATTTTGTAGAGTTAAAAAGTCATCAGGAAGGTCGAGTTGGGGGAAGAACAATGAAGGAGAGCAAGGAAAGGGATTCCTTAGTAGAGGGTGCCATTATGGGCTTAACGGGAAATCTGGCACTAGGGGCATCTCCGGGGATCTACAAGGATGACCCCAACTAAGAATAAGCAATAGTGGAGAGGCTACCTTAAATGCCCTTTTTATAATGAGATTGATGACTACATTAATTGCCATCATAGACCCTTCATCCAGTAGATGATTGAAGCAGAAGCAGAGATTCACAGCTAAGCACTGATCCAAACTCCTGGAATCCAGTTGTAGAAAGGGAGGA